GATGATTTAACCTCCGAAACCAAACAGAGTGCGTCTCTGTCACTTCAAAACGTAGATAACATCCATGGCCGCTTACGCTTGGCGTGTTTAGTGTAGGTGACAGCATCACGAATCTCATTTTTCAGGAACACCTTCAGCACACCTCGTAAATCAGACCGGAGATACGTCAGACACCGCCACGGCGAGCCAGACGACGGATGGTGGTTATCTCGAAGAATTTGCGTTTGGTTCTGAATATAGCGATGAGTGTGCAAAATATTACGCAATTCCATCCTCCCTATTCGCACGCGCCCGAGGATCGGAGGCGAATGCCACTTCGACTTGTTTCGTCTACTTACTACTCTCTGACGACTGTGCTGGGGAAGCAGCATATGCATGTAGGTAATTGGTGGATTTGTTAGTTAATTCGACGCTTTTGGACAATGCTGGACATTTACCAGTTTTTCAATAGTGTCTTGTTGAAAATCAACATAATTATCGATGCGTAGCCATATTTCTGATCGATTTTTGAAAATTTTTGAAATTGGACCAGGGGCAGCTGAGTTATTAACGTTCAAAATCTTTCTTAATTTGTTACATGTTCCATTTTCCGTTTTTACAAAGTGTACCCCCATATAGAAATCAAAGACGTAGTCCTACGTCAAAAATTGGTGAAACTCAATCAATTTAGTTCTTTAAATATTGTTAATGTGTAACCAGATGGGCTAGTTTAAAGGGATTCCCCTAACCTCTGGTTTAGCCACGGAGATCGCCTGGGGTGGGCTACACTCGCCTCTTTTGTTGGTTAGCTCGAGCTTGAAACCCTGGAGTTTCAAGGTCGGCTCCTGGCTTGTCGACACTGATCCGAAGTACAAAACACCTCTTTATCACTTTTAACTCGTTTATTGTCCCACTCACTTATTACTTACGGTTTCGGTATCTGTAGTGTGTGTGTGTGTGTGTGTTGTGCTGGCCAGCGATGACGGGATTCTGCAGGGGGTGGGGTTTTTCGGCGGCGGATGAACGGACTGTTCACAGTGGATGCCGGTGCTCGACGGTTGTCACCGTGTGGCACGACGGATGTGGCACTGGGACTCGATCGGTTGATCGACGGTGGTCTCTCAGTGGTCGTCGGTGTCTTACCGATGGACGCTTGCTACACGGGTGTTGGCGTGTTAACGGACGCCCTCGTGGCTTAGCCCGTAATTAATGGGTCCTGAAGGGAATATGAGAGGTGGTCTTAGGGCTGGGAATTCCGCTACCGGGTTATTGATTGGGTCCTACCTGACTCCGTATTCGGTTGTATTAGCCGGTATTTGTTGGTAACTCTTCACTATTTTTTCAAAACTTATAGCAACCTTGGCAGATCGAACTATCTCGCGCAATGGCTGAAGTGCAAGAGAACCTTCTCTTCAGTTTGACCCAGTAGCTTCCCCCTTGACCTATGCCCATTTCCACCTCCCTCCCAATTTCCCACCACTCCTTGTCCATATCCTTCTCCTGTTTCCAACGCCCACCTTCATCCTTACTCCTTCCCGTTATGTGTTCTGTGTTATGTGTTGTTGATGTGACTGGGTTACAATATTTAATTGGACCGTTGGTTTGGGAGTGGTCTTTCATTTGCCTTACATATTTAATTATATTTACATTCAAAACAAGACAATAATCTCACTCTCAACAATAATCTAATCTCATTCATTTTTTCGTCAATGACAAAGATTCACCTGCTAACAGAAAGGGTAATTTCTTGCATTCTGAGTCACATTATTGTTATCCAAGCTGTTCAGGACGTAGATGCTTGTTCACTTTAATGGCTCCATGTGAATGTTTTCCTCAAGACATTTAATTTCATTTTAAATTTAGCTAATAAACAAATCAGCACATGTTCGTCACTGACAAAAATGCCACTGACAATTGACATGGTTTGCCTTGACGATGACTGTTAGCTCAAACGAGTGACCAAAGCAGAATTTTGAGTATCACTGTGTATTGTCGAAATTGTGCAGCACTGTCCTCGACTCCCAGTTAACCTTCAAGCAGCACGTGTCGTTCGTAGAGAATAAAGCTTCAAAATCTCTAGGCATTATCTTCCGGTTAACAAAAGAGTTCACGGACATTTACTGTCTAAAGGCGCTCTACTGTGCATTAGTTCGGTCGACATTGGAGTACTGTTCGACTGTTTGGAGCCCTCACTACCAAAATGGAATTGAGAGAATAGAATCAGTGCAACGGCGGTTTGTTCGATTCGCACTTCGTCGACTACCATGGCGGGATCCATTTCGTCTCCCAAACTACGAGCACCGATGTCAGCTAATTCGTCTGGATACACTTAGTACACGAAGAGACGTTGCTAAGGCTATGCTGGTTTATATTAATTTAGTTCATTGGCAACAACTTATCCATCATTGGGGCCAAGAAGCCTGTTGATGAAGAAATAAATAAATAAATAAAAAAGTGATGGTTTGAGTGCTTTTTCAAACAATCGAAAAATGTAACACATACTGAATAAAAACTATTTATATACGATATCAACGGAAATAGCCTAAGCTACAATATGGAACCAATGTTTCTAATTTGGAAAAGCGCAGCGGGTAAACTTAATCTTTACATTATACTATCAAAGTTACTCGCATTATCAAAGATACCCCGTTTTACGGTATTTAAAATTCCGTGTTTATTTGACCCAGAAAGACTTTATTTTTTCCTGCAACTTTTTTCAAATACGTCATTTTAATCAAAAGAGACGTCTTCGTGCAACAATGTATTGAAAAATGACAATGACACCACTATGAATCATTCAACAAGTACCAAAATGGCCGATTTTTTGCAAAAATGTGAATGACTGCCTATAACACATAATTGTAAAAAAAAAATTGCAAATCGGGAAGGTAGAGTTTTGACCAATTCGTCATTTGACGGGGAACATCTCTTTATAGACTCACTTTAGAAAACTAGGTTTTATTCATGGCCAACATAAACGTTACTCATAGCACATTGTGTGGCAAGCTCTCTATCCAAGGAAAGTCGAATAAATTTGCAATCCGAAAGATTTCCTAGTCCTGACCGGGAATAGAACCCTCCGTTTCCGGCTTGGTAAGGTATACCTTGATATAACGTAACTGTCAGTTTTGACTTCCATCGCCAATTTCTCGCAAACGATAATTCAAATAAAACCATCGTACGGAGTCTTTACCGACTAGGCTATCTGAGGCCCCTATTTGAATAACTGAGTTACGTTGACTCAATTCTTGAGTACCACTCAGTGCATGAGTTATCCGATTTTTACCGAAATGAGAGAAATTCTACCAAATTTTGAGTTAATCTCCGTGGTCGTGTACCAAAACTGGTAGGTCTTTCCGAATATAAACCTCTGTGGGGAATTAACGAAACGTGCGTAATTTTTTTTTTTCAACAAAGAAATGTCGGAGCTTTGTGGTGGCAAACTCAGAACAATGAAAAGATAATACCTTATGGAAGAATTCTGCCAGCTCTGGCAAGGTGGCAAGGTGGAACGTGTTTATTGCTTCTCATAACAGCAATTCTCATACAGAGAAATGCTTTCATTCGTGTTGAAGTTCATACCGAAGAGGTGTTATGTGGATTATTTTCGATAATCCAAGGTTCATTCCGGGCTGATAAATTTTTCTTTGAATACTTTTACGCATTGCTGCCTACTACAAAAGAAACCCTCACTCTGTAAAGCATTTGAAAATAACGAACAGGAATTAGGTATATGCACGTTCCTGAGCTTTTCCATTCGAATGTCCAATTACACATGGAGACGCATGGTTATAGTTAGGGTTTAAACAAAATTCAAAGACATCGATTGAAATGGCTCGTTCCGGAACAATAGTGACACTGATTAACACTCAAACACAAATAAAAGTGATGCTACCAACTCGGCGTAACTTACTATCCTCTCCGGTTTTCCATGAATAATAATGTACTATTAATGATTTCTTCGAAAATTACCCCATTTACAACTCTAAATTATCACCAACTCATTAGAGAGCACTGAAATTCCAATTTACCAGTCACTTTTCTTGTCATGTCGTGCCCGTGTACTGTAGCGCCGACAGCGACATTTCGAAATTAAAATTCAACCACTCGTCCTCCCTGCCATCATCCCTGTCTGACAAAATGCGTTCCTGCACGACCAATGAGTTCGACTCAAAATAGAAACGGGGTTTCACTCAAAACTGCAAAAAACGTAGGTTACTCAAAGACTGAGTAAAATTTTTCTCAGTTTTGCTCAAAAATCTGCTTGAATATAGGAAAAATCGACGAAAATTTTACTCAGGCTAGGAGTAACCTACGTTTTTGCGAATTTGAGTTACAATTTGAGTTGAATTAATCGGCCGTATGATCCTGCTTCGGAAAATCATCGAAATCTCCAACATCATAAAGGCGTGGAACTAATAATTTCGGGGGCGAATCACTGTCATCACTCGTTGTTGCTTTTCTCCCCCCATTTCTCCACTTCAAACAATCTATCCTGTCCGTCCCTCCCCTTTCCACCCATACACAGCAAGACCAAAGGGTGGATTTTCGTTCGCTGATAACAAGCTTCAAGTCTGCCGGTAGTAGCGAGTTGTTATTAGCTTTTCGCTCTCTCGTCATAACCAACCGGTCGCATGTTGCCGAAAAGTTGATTCAAAAGGCTGTTGGAGATGAATGGCGACGTTGAAGGTAAGGCAACAAGCGCACAAAAAAAAAAGAGCCAGAAATAAGTTATGGGCGGGAAATGGATTTTCATCAGCGCGATGTTTTGTTGTCTGTTCCAGCAGCAGAAGGGCGTTCTTATGATCCTTCATCGGATATTTGGGGAAACGTGACTTGGTTGCAATCATCAAGGCTGGTTTCACTTCAGGGAATTGTAACATCACCGATTCGGGAAACGTCACCTGATGCTGACAGGCGAGCTGGTTGAAGTTAATGCTTTATAATTTCTAAGAATCGATCATATCAAAAATATTCGGAATTCAGCTATTGAAACTTGCCTGTCTTGTTTTTCGTTTCAGATTTCCAAACCCCCCGCGGTGCGGCAATGAGATTGTTATCGTTTTACTGACATCTTGGAGGCAACCAAAGGAACAGATGGCTGTCAGCTCTCGTCAACCAAGCTCCGTGACCTTCTACTTCTGGGCCCGAGGCAGAAGGTCCAGTTTGAGGTTTTGTTGTAGGAACTATAGACGATTGGCTATCTGGTGATGTGATTTGTGTGTTTGTTCCTTATCAGACCCTTTGGAAAGGGGGAAAGCTATCAGCGTTAGTGTCCACACATTGGAATGTTTTATCTATTGTGATCGAATGCACTGATAATTACCTGGAAATCTTCTTTTATCGCTAGTTGAAAAGGTCAATCTAAAAAATATTTTAGGTACAACGCAATAAACACTTTATCTTCCGCTATCCAAAAAGCCTCCTCCATCAGAATTGGAGCTGCTTCCAGTGGTTTCATTGTATGGCTGTTACGCCAACGGGGGTCAGAGCGCTTCCATTGCAGCAATGGACGCAAAACGTGGTCAACACTTACACACTCATCACGAAACGATTACTTTCCTAAGTCGACGACGCATCGACCGAAAGAACTGCTGATGAAGAACACTGAGGAGGACCACACAATGGTTGATGTCGAGAAAACAGACGATCGCGTAGCACACATCGAGAGTGGCCTGCTTTTGTCGACAGCCGAGTGAACGCTGAAAAGTTCATATATGGTTGGATCGATTCTGTTATTCGACTTTCTCTTTTGAGAACCACGGCTGTACGGATACATTTCTGGCTATTTCCATCACACAGTTCGATAAATGAAGTTATTGACTAGTGCAGAAAACGTCAAAACAGGCAGATAATGTTTTTGCAGCAAAGTTAATAACGAAAGGGAAAGTCGATGCAGAGAATCGATCAAAGGAGATATGACTTTTTGAAATGTTCATCTAGATATATTCTGAAAGGGGGTATAGATATTTATGTTCTTCAGACTCAAAAAGCATTCAACTTTAATCTGAGTCCCAATATAAAACGTGGAATATTCAGTTTAAATGACAGAGTATCTAAAGCAGTGCTGTCATGCTAAATTAATTAAGATTTTCACTGAAGGTCTTGAATGTTTCCAAACATCATGTAACTGCACATAATTTATCGGAACTAATTCATCGAGATCTTTAAACTTCCCCGAAAGTCTAGACTTTCCTGAGATTTTCGACGCTTCTCCATGGTCATTGTGTGTGTGAATTCCCTCTAACCCCCACTGGCCGGCAGTGTTATTATGGAAGAACTCTCTCTACAATGTCGAATTTAGGATCATTGTAGACAGCTTTATTCCGGGAGTTAGGAGGTGATAGCTCTATTGCAGATCCAGCAACCCATTGGACTTTTTTTTTTCTAACGCTTCGTATATCATTCCGTGCTTCACAGGCAATTTCCTTCCGTAGATCGTTCTTGGTTGGTTCTAACATGATTCCGCCTTTTTCGGGTTTTTCTTGTTTTCCGAGGAAGATAAATCTGCACTAATTTCCGTTCCTGGTTCAATGTTGACTCCTTTCTGGCTGGTTTTTGTGGTCGGTTTCATGTCCATCATCTGTCACTGAATTGCCATGGTGATCTGGAACGAGGCTCACGTCCAAAGTCGCTGGTCCACCGAGCGCTCCGTGTGCGAAAAGAGAATGAAAGAAATACGAAAGGGATCAGTTTCAAAACGTGACAGTTTCATCAGATTCCCCAACTAACCATACTCAAGCAAAGTAAGAATTTACAAGCTATATTGCGACTACATGGTTACTTGGGTACTCATATGGCCGAATGTGCTAAGTGAAGTATTTCTGAAAGTGATGCGTTATATTTCTCAATGTTTTGATTTTATCCTAACGTTACCTCAATGTTATATCACGGACAAACAGACACAACATATTGAGCATTTTTCAGTGTAAATCCTACCGCCATCTGTTGTATACACTGTTATGGGGAAGACACTCAACAGATGGCTGTAGTGCGTAAACGTCAAACGAAAGGTAATTGATTGTGTGCGCCACAAGTGGTGGTACTACCAACTAAGAAACATTTAAATTGACCGTTAAAAGCGATTTCGATTAACATTTTAAGAGTGTTATGCCTGCTTGTATGTGACTTGACTATCGCAACTTCGGGTAATCCGCGAAAGTACTTGCATTTTTCTCAGGCTTTTTTTATATTCACTTTAACGCTCTTGCGTCATTCATGACTTGTACGGGGGTGAGATTTGAACTCGTGATTTTGGCGTGAGAGGTATGGATGCTAACCACTACGCCGGGGTCGCCCCCTCAGGCACTTTTTGTTCTAACTGCAATCACTCTCTCATACTCGAAATGTGCCACGACCAAATTGGCACAATGACGCCCTCTACGCTCTCTGACCGAAGTAAAGGGTTCAACGCTTCTCTATGGTCATTGGACCTTTATTAAAGTTCTCTAAACTTTCTCAAAGTTTTCTGTACTTTCCTGAATTTCTTAGAACTTTTAAGGAGTTCCCGCTCTGATATGAGCATGAGCATTTTTGACCGCCCAAGGTTGCTACTCTGTTTTTGCCAGATCTGCTGTAATTGCACAAAAAACCAATGCTTGGGACTAGCAATCATTCTCATTGTGTAAAAACTGGTGATCTCAAACTAGGCAATACCAGCGCCGGCCGCGCCCGAACACAGGTCAAAAAAGGAATGAGTAGGAATGTGTTGGCGTGACACTCGCTTTGATGGAAGCCGATAAATACTCTGCACTTCCACGAGGAATCACTGGGATGTTGGATAAGAGGGTAGGGTTTGCAGCAGGGTTCGTTTTGGTAAACAATAAGCTGAATTGATGTCCTAACGATAGGGAGGGGTTACTGTATAAATAAACAAAAAGGAATGATCGCACCCAAATAAACATTTGGAGCAGCACCAGCAGCAACCGGCCTCCTCGTAGACTTTCTTCGACCCATCGCATCGTCAAAATTCCGGATCCATCTTGTCGATATATAATTAATAAAATATAACAAAATACTAACAACCTCGATCTTCTCACTCAATTTCTTTAAACTCGTGCTATATGTGATTTACCTGCACGGTATGATAAAACTCAACTTTGCTTATTGAATCAATCCACCATTTAAGTACAGAATCAATTTGCTAAATAATCGAGGTTATTTGAGCATATAAGAGTTATAAAAACAAGTATCCATGAATAATTCTTGAAAAAGCAAAACTCTGCGAAGGTAAAACAATTTAAGAGCATTGACCTAATGTATGATGATATCCAATTGATTATCCGGGTTATCCAAATTCTGAAAACCATAGATCATATTAAATTATAATAAAATACCAATGATATGCCATTTGATAAATCTTCTGGTCCTTCAGGATCTGCATGACAACTTTTTTCTTTAATTGAAATATTTAGTTATAATGATATAATGATAATATAATTTACAAGTCACTTAATATATAAAATATTTAATTTTTGTTAACCTCAATTCATTTAACTGATTTCAACTTCTGATGTTTTATTGGAATTGAAACAAACGCTTTATTATGCACCATAGAATAGCTTAACTCAATATATTAAAGAAAAAAATATTATGGATTATTCGTAGACGCCTGTTCGTAAAAACCCGAGGAACATGCTTCATGCGATCGAGGTCATCTCTCTGACAAATGGGAACTATGAAAATAAATCTCGATTACTCCCCCGAAGGAACGCATCCACTCCCGCAAACAATGCATCCGATCCCCAATTCGGCGCAACCGGCATCCCGCCCACGCATGACCACATGGTGTGACCACTAGAAAGGGGAAATTTTCCCCAACCTTATAGCGGCGCAGCACGCGCGGAAGAGCCACCAGCCACACCAAACCGACCATCAAACGCACTGCCACAAAAGCAGACAGGTCCCCTCGAAAATGCAATCGGGAAATGTATAAGAACAATCTTTAACTGGAACGTACTCACCAAATCAAAATATCCGGGAGCGCATTCCCGATGTTTAATTTTCTCTAGTCATTTTTAAACAATTCCTCCTCCAGCGAATCTAACCACACAATAACTAAATATCACTTTTCTTCTTCAAATCAGCGCTTTTAAGAAGTTCCCGCTGTGATATCCGGTATATAGGGTAGAGCGCTACTTCGTCGTAATCGCCCATTTCCGTCCTATCGATCAGAAAATATCAATAATATCAATGATTTCACCGTGCACAAATCAATAATAGGTTTGTTCCGATGCGTTAGTTCATTAGCTACAACATAAATCCTGTTAGAGCGCATTGTATGAATATTTACGCTCATTGTTCTCAAAACAAAAGAAGCGCTCCTAGCGAATCCCCTTTTTCTACATTTATCCGTAGGACGAAGAAAATCTAATGGCGTTTCAATGCGTTTGGACGGAATTGAAACTCGTAGAACGAATTTAGAATCAAGAAGCAGTATTAGATTTTAAACAATATCTCAACAATGTGTGACTCTTTATCAAATCTAACGGTACGTATGGAAAGGTGAATAAATTTAGAAGTCATCTTTGACAGAAATATTCCATTTTTAGTTAAAACTCGTTCAGAAAAGAGAGGTAAAGTGCGCGTTGTGCTTAGTAGGACGGAAATTAGATCAAAAACCCTAATAGGCTTATTTCACAATTGATTATTAGCAACAATTGAGAAGCAACGCCCACCATTTATTCTCTCTTCGTCTCTCCTTATACACGCTCGTCAACTACGCCAGCAATGTGTAACATTCTAATCGGGATGCCACATCCTACCCACGCATTAAGTAAAATTAACTGCAACATATGATATTGTTTCATTCCATTTACGAAAGATTATTTACATTATTCATGTATCGCTGTGGTCGTTTAATCATTCTGGTTGCTTGTCGTTTTGAGATTGATTTCGAAATCTGATTTTCGATCGTTCTATCATCGCAAGCTGTGCGTTTTGTAGGTAATCTACAGTCCACGCCCTGTTGTCCAGTTGACTTCGTTAACTTGTGCTTGTCTTGGCTCTTTTCCGGCATTCCTATTGAAAAAAAAAATATAACAAACAAACAAATAATGAATTAAAATATAAAATAAAACATAAGTG